ACTATCTTTTATTATTATGCTTTCCGTGGCAACCTGTAATTAAGGCAGCACTAATTGCTTGTATACCACTGCCATTGTATCTCTTAGCTTTTAAGGTGTGTGTTCTTGTTGGTTGTCAAGTAACTTATATAAAATGACAAACGCCCATTTTTTTCTCCTTATTAGCCTATATTATTATGTTTTATTCTTTTCTTGTGAAAAATTTACTGTTCATGTGTGTAATTGTATGCCAAAATGAATCTTTGCTTTCTATGTGGTTTTATTTAAGTAACGTATATTAGACACCGCAAATAATGTGACACGCTAACAGTTTTATAATAGAAAAAGTCGTGATTTAATTTAGAAATTATATTTTACTAGTGATAAATGAAACATAAAAACATACAGTTCTCTTTACAAATCCTTTTTTTTCCAAGCTAAAATAATTATTTGCCGGTTACAACTAGCAATGTGACGTTGGCTAGAATATGACCACTTTCCTTTTACATATTTATATCCAACATTTGTGTTAACAAATGGCGGTCAAACTTCTGAGACACAAATTCACAAATAGCTTAGCTTAGCTAGCTACTTACTGAATGGTACTTATATTTAGAAACACATTTTTTTGTAAGTGATGTTTCCCTTGTGTTTTTACGGTTAATATTACTTTTAACTGTAGAGACAAGTCACGAGGTTTGTAATCTTTACTGCAAACAATGAATTTACTGCTTGTTATATAAGGCATTCGATTTATTTGTTGAAATGATATGCACATGTTTACGAATACAGCAATTGATATTCATTTAATACAAACAAATAGCATGCATTTATATTCTAATTATTTCATATATTACATGTTTATTTTGACAAACTTAAAGGGGATTTAATAAGGTGATGGCAACTACTTTGGTTCTGCACAGGGGTTTGACAAGTGGAAATTGGGTATAGTTACTGGTTAGAATATTTCACTTTTAGTCGATCCTTACAGTGATCGGCACTATGATTGGTGAAGAGTTCAGCGCGGGCTTATCACAACGCCGAAGGTCGTCACCGTGACGATCGAGTTGAAGTAAAATAAACTCGCACTTGGCCTTAAGATCTATTTACGTTTAATCACACTTACATTTTCACTGTGACTTGTGCGGTTGTGAGCACAGTACCTGAAATGAGTATGTCACGGCAGCAATTATACCTATCACGCCAATTGACTAAGAAGCAAATCGTCTAACTGTTAATGTCTAAGCTGTGGACTGTCTGACTGACTGTCTATAAATTGAAATGCCTAAACAGCAGTACGTCTTTTCAATGCCTAATACGCAGATGCGAAGCGAAGAAAAATCCTGTGCAAAATGTAATGGTTTTAAAGTCATGATTTGGACTGTGTGTTGACAATCATTCTATGCGAGTTTAATTATTATAAACCAAAAACCAAAGTTCTACTAATGACAATACCTAAAATGCAGATCATCAATCTCAATTATAGTCAACATATAATTTAGGCACTCAGTTTTTACACAAACTAATGTTATACTAGGCGTTCTGCTTCTTAGTCATTGACGGTTTTAGTTTTTAGTCGCAGTGCATTGTGGGCAATTTTCTTCTTAGTCAATAGGGAATATGCACGTGACATCAAAATGCACAAAATATTTTTATTTGTAATTTTTATTGCTAAAAAAAGATAGCCATACAATTATTTTTCAAATTTATTATAATTTAATAGTGAAATTTAATCATCAAAAATTGGCTTCTTTAAGATTCCCTCGCAAATTTCTAAAACGCAACGCTATTGGTTGAATAAAACGTGACGTCAACCTACACTGTCAAGAGTGTCAACAAGTTGTAAATATTTGTAATATTTGGTTTTTGGTGATTATTTGTTTCATTTTAAGTTAATAACTAATACGTTTTCAGTGTTAAATTATTAAATTCCCGTGTAGAAAGACTCAACACAATGACTGAATATACTTTGTCAGGCGCAGTTTTGATATTATTTGGGCACAAAAAAACGGCACAATACTTATAATAAGTTTTTATTGGTTTTTCCATGGTAATAAGTTAATTTTTATCACTCACTTTTTTAACTTTCACAAACTTTGTGAACTTCACTCCGTTGTTGACATCTAATTCGTCTGAAAGTGTAATCTGACGTCATAAAAAAAGCGCAAAAAAAATATATGTAATAACTAGTAGAATCGTTTAAAAAAAAAATACATGCATATATCACGCCAATAGGGAATTGGCGTGATAATAATTAATGCAGTGGCATCTTTCATTTTAGGTACTGTGCTCATAACCGGACTTTTATTTTTTCAATAACATCATTAAATACAGATAATTTTTGTAGGCTTTATTTCGTTTAGGAATCTGTACATTATTTTTCTCATTGTATGCATAAAAGTAAACAATATTTCAATGTGTTGTTTTTAAATTAACTGTATTATACGCTACTTTTGGTTACGAACCGGCCACCCCGATTTATCTATTTATGGATATACTACTCTAAGGTTATAACATTTTCCGTATAGCACGGGTCTGCAATCATGGTTGACAATAGGCTCGCCTATTATGGGGCACCACAAACAATTGCCTTCCTTTAGCATTTTATAGGCATGATAAGTATGGTAGTATGATAAGTAAAGTGTCTAATCATACAACATAGAATTTGTGACAGTGATAGACAAGATATCGGAAATCTTTCCATAACTGATATAGAAATACGCCTGTAGTATTCCTATAGCGATTCTTTACGTAGTGTTATAGTTTTGAAAGTGCACACGACAATAATCCGCCATATACATAATCATGACATGTATAAATCGACTCATGATGACATTAAAAAACAAACAAGTGCAGGGGTACAAACCCCTAGTATTACATTTTAGCGTACCCCGTGTGCTCTGTAACTGAAGCATGATAATAATGAACAGCAAAAGTCTAAACATACAACAAAATCCAATACAGCAACCCTATGAAAGCGTTTTATCCTGTCTGAGGGGCCGAACCACTCAGTTCAATAGATGGGAATGTTTAAAGAATGGCTGCGTACGTTTGCATTTATTCAAAGACTTCTAGTTAGTTGAAGGAAATACCTAAGTGAATAGGCATTATTTTAAATATAAACTGACAAAGGAAACATTCCTATGGTTTCAGGTCGATTATAAAGAGGTATTATGGAATTTAAATCATAGTTAAGTAAAAAAAAATAATTCTATATAAACGACATGAATGAATTACATATTAATTTTTATGAATTACGTGATTCAATATAAATTTTAGTTACGTCATGGACAGCTGTTGAGTAATTTTAAGAATAGCCGTGCGCAAACTCCTTCCACGCTATCCTGTTATTTATACCGTACTGGGTAAGAAATGTATTATTCGTCAACTGAGTGCGAACTGACAATTAATTGCCGAAATGCTGATGAATAGACAAACTTTCTCTAGCAATTAGCTAACACTGGTTGCCAAATTATTACCTAAATATTAAAGCTTGGTCTAAATAGACGGGAAACCATGGAGTAGTTGTCTTTCACGTAAAAAATTACGTGTGTCTGTTTAGTTGTTTCTTCACATTGCGTGATCGTAGTTTTAAACTTTTGAATATTTTTCGTTAAACGCACATTGTAATTGTTTAAATAATGACAATAATTGTTATTTTCATTATTCAAACCTTGTGCGACTACAGTTTATTTTAAACATAACCCTTAAAAAATAAAATGAATAATAAAGTCAGCCAACTATAATTTTCCTATTATTACACAGGCCAACCAAATTTGTCAAAGTTTCTGTCCCAGAAACCAGAGTATTCTTTGCCAAAGGATTTTGGTGCGCTGAATCGGAATTCGGCCGCAGAATCTAAAAGTTCAAAAAACGCTATTTTTGCCCATTTTGAGGTTATGTAAACCTTTTTAAATTTTATTATGCCTAAAAAAGTACAAAGGATATCTTGAAGGTCAAGTCTTTAGCTTTTAAATGACTTTGAGTTTGCTCAAATATATTTTTTTTTCACTGAGAGAGTAGTGAACAGGGTTTGCTTAGTTTAAAGCCTTGTAGTTCAGTTAAAGGTTAGCTCAGCTGAACTCGGGGTGGGCAGTATTTGATTGGTTTTGAGGCGATTTTCTCAAAAACCTGACGTGATAGAGCAATTCTGTGCCCGGATTTGGATTCAGCGTACCAAAATCTTATTAAAAAGTATACTTTGGTTTCTGGGTAAAAAATTTGTTGACCTGTGTTATTAAAACATACAAATCTTTTTTTAGTTTTATTGAAAAACAACCTGTGTAAATTAGGTGAGTATTCATATTAGAAAAAGACATTTATTGTTATTGAAAATAAATTAATTAAATAATTACAGTAAAAACTGCCAATAAATAAAATGGGATTAAATATAACTGTTGCTGGTAATTGCTTTGGTGTCATCATGTAAATTATAGTATTATCGTATTATATTAAAATTCATCAGTAACTGTAAAATAACAAGGTCGCCATTACGTTATTTTATACGACTACTGTTTTACATTTCAGTTCACTTTCAAATGTAACTTTAAATGTGAATTTCTCAAACTTAAAGATGTCTTATACTAGATATGACGATAACCATTTATTGGTCACGAATTGTAAATCGACAAATTTTGTACACCTACGTCACCTTTGTTTAGAAATTTGATAATGCATAGTTTTCAAAAGTATGTAAGACAAAACTATTGCGATAAACAGTATTTCAGCGCGGGTTCCCGACACAACTTTCTTGTTGTACTCACACTAGCATCAAAATAAACTTTGCAGTCGGGAGTAAAGTTCAAAACAAACATTAGCATTACAATTGTAGTCGCGTCGCTGGACTGAGGATCTCACCATATATGTGCAATACCAGTACATTGAACTAGCTAAGTCACGCGGACCTGAAGATGCGAACACTTCCGTCATAATTGCAACCATCGTAAGTCAAAAATAACAATATAAAACCGTTTATTAATCGCTCGAATAATTTTTTTTCAAATTTAAGTAAAGAGCAGTACCTTATTGAGTCCAGGATGACGGAGGCGGTCGAGGCCTGACAATTTGCTGAGGGCTTCCCCCTCGCCGGTACCCCACATTCCAATTCGATCGCGTTCCATTCCGCGTGTACACTTCCATTCGCTTCCAACTAGCGACTGTTTAAGAACGCCGAGTGTAGCGCCACTTTTGTCATGCTGAGCGGGGGGCGGCGGGCTCATCGCGGAATCGCTCCTGGGAAAGCGGGAAAATGTTTCAGTGATAACATAGATATGAACCGCATTGCGGTTACATCCGCTCGATAACAGATGGCGTTTGGACATTGAACTCACTCCTAGGCCGTGGGAAATTAGTTCTGTTGGGTATTATTATTCTTCCTATAAATATGCATATTTTGCCATCGATTAAACTGTTGTTAAAAATGGCATTTTTTTATGTAATGTCTTGACTTATTACAAAATGTTGTGCTATAATGTTTAAATGTGCTGCGATTAACTGACACGAATAAAACAGGATCGATATGCGAAACAGCACTTTGATACACGTACCTACTGTTTACAATAAATATTGGGGTCATTGACAAATATGAATAAGTCCACGAGGAGCCTGTGGTTTTGTTCTTTAGGTATGAACCATAGAATTTCAGTTATTTTGAATCGGATACTGCTGTCGGTAACACACTTTTCTATTTGCAAGTAGGTACATGGTATATTATCACGCTTTGAAGGAAAATTTTCAATATTTTGTAATAAAAGTTACGTACGTAAGCTCTTTTTTAAAGTAAAAGATATTTTTAAGTAAAAGTTATTCAGCTAAAAAAGGACATTTTGCGACTAATACCCCATTATTTAAATAGTTTTAGTGTGTTTGAAGCAAAAAAATAATATAATCTCATACGACATTTGTATCTACAAACTATTGAATGTGTATGATCTAATAAGTCGACAACTATAAGTTGTATACGCGATTTGTAGTCTGTTACGCACTTCTGTGATATTTGTAATACTACAAAGTATATTCTTTGAAACGCAATACAACATCCTTTTTATTCATGACTCTCTTTAGTTCGCCATATTCATACGAGTATGTGTGACTTCATCTACATAATCTGTCAGTAGCGAACTAATATAAAAGTTTTTACATTGTTTCACTTAAGTGAAAGACCATGTACCTCTTCTCTACTTTACAATGTCCATGAATAGATATTTCAAAGATGAATACACTACATGTACCCTTAAGACCCTTTTACACAACAATTTGTGCTACATTAACCCTACAGAACATCTACGAGGCTACGAAAGCTCTACGCCCTACCTACGTTTACTGGGACAAGATGTTGAGGCCGTCTCGCACGGACAGCTCATGAGAGCCGGAAGCGAACACTATCTGGAAATAAGGTTTATCTTTAATATTATATAATATTTTTGCAAACCTAAAGAAGTGCCAATACAGGTTACAAGTATTTTTAAGATTATTGAAACAAATAGGACTGAGTGACACATATTTTGACATATTGGAGTCATAAAAATAACTACCTTAAAATTTGATAAATAAAATTTACAGACAGTGTTCACCTTGAAAAGGTTAAATTGATACTACTAAATTAAAAATAGTTCTGCACGAATATCAAATGCAGAACTATTTGTTGTAACTGTTTGTGTTTATGATATATGAGTGGGCCATCACGTACTTGACGATAGATGGATGCGCAATAAAACTTATTAGAAATATCAAATAATAAGTTTTTTATTGATCTCCTTTTTATTTATTAGCTATTTCATAAAGAATATTTTAGTCACGAATCATCAAATAAGTCCGTTAATTTAGTTAGCCACTGTTTTCATTAGAGACACTATGTAATGGGGAAATCAATGACAAAGCATATTCGCCTTAAATTTCGCAGATTAGAGAGAAGTCTGCACGTTTCTTTCTCCAGAAGTATGTGTAATGGTCCATAAAACTGTTAGCATATTTGAATTTGATGCTCTCCGCGTACTAAAATGAAAATTTTGTACGGTACTAATTTTAACTTTGTCTTATTTACCCAATAACAGACACACATCAGGCAGTCTTTAAAAAGTATATATTCTATCGTACTATGTCTATTGCTGTGCGCGTGAGTTTTTTTTTTAAATTACGTTATATAAATACAGCCTCGGGGTGCAGTGGTAGAGTAAATGACTGCTGCGCTGAGGTCTCAAGTGCGATTCTCGGGTCAGACCAAATGTTTGTATGATCTCCAATATTTGTTTCGGAGCTTGGGTGTTTTCTATGTATATTATGTATGTATTTACAAAAAAAAGTATAAGTACTATCAGTCAATCCAGCTTTCATAGTACAAGCTCTGCTTAATTTGAAACTAGATGGCGTTACGTGTCAGATGTCCAAATTATTATTTAATACCAATTAGGTTTCAACATTCAGTTCAAATTACGTATTCATTAAAATAATATTTAAATACATAACGACGATTACTACACTTTTAAAATTTTATTGTAATACTCTACAATACAATTTTTTTTTATTAATAACAATAAAGAACCTTTTTGATACTCGCGAAATTACTTTCCAAGTCTGTGGGATAACTTTCGTGCTGCGAAGAACTTGTTTACGGTTTACTGTAACATTTAAACAGGTTTCAATTTCGTGAAATGTGAAGTATAGGTTTCGACTAATATTAGTAAATATGTATAGGACTTGGTAACCTGAACCTTAACTTTCACATCACATCAACAGTATTTAGTAGTCCACTGCTGGACATAGTAAAACCGGAATAAAACAAAAAAAAAGTTTTGTAAAAACTAAAAAACGAATAACGTGGATGGCATATTACTAGTATTCTTGTTTTCCTGTCCAGCCAAGCTACATGCTTGTGTCAGGATCAGGTTCATGTCGGTGCGGTACTGGAGTCGTACCTAACTATTGGATCGAAACACCGTTTCACTTGCCGTATTCTTATTTGTTACTATAGTGGACATAAAAGTACTCACCCACAGGTATCCAAAATGCCATGGCTAACACCCTAACATTTATATGGTAACTTCCCCTTTTATCAAAATAATGTTATAAAAACAAGTTATTAAAACTAATGTAAAGAATAAATAACACAAAAAAATGGATGGGGAGTACTGTCCGCTGAAGGAAAAGAAGATTTGCACCTTAAAATCATTGTATTAAAATGAAATATTAATGAAAATAAGAAGCGGAAGTCAGGATATCACAAGAAGTTATTGGCCCCCACTAAGAAATAAGTTTAATTCTGTCAAACTTATGTTGCTAAACAAACATGACCTAGTTAAATATAACAAACCAAAATCAATTATTTAATACAAATTAACTTGATTATTAGATGAAAATAGGAAGTAAAAATGTCTTAATAAATCCGAACAATAACAAAGAACAAAAACGAACAATAAACCTATAATCAAAAGAGACTATCTTAAAAAAGCTCTGAAACTCACCGTTTATTTTTCTCAACCTGTGACGAGCCATTCATATGACGTGTGTCAATTTCACCGTTTGATTTTACTTTACGTGCCAAGAATTCCATGTTTAAAAAGTAATTGAGTAGATTTAAAAAATATATATCACAGACAATTTCAAAGAAGGTACGTTTTGCTATTAATTATTTGCAGAGAAAAATAAATGAACTAAATAAATCTCACTAATTATTTTTTAATTGACGGGTTGTCAGAGAGCTTAACAAACTCCAAATGACAACTAAAGGTTGTATACACAGTCCAAGTTATCAACATCAATAAAGATATGCTGGAGAAAATCACGCGGCACAAAATAAAATAAATTACCGACAGATCACGCGGTTCATTTTTAATGATAAATAATTAGTGACCTAAAAAGTAATTGTGCGCTTCTTCAAGTTTTGATAACATATACATGCATGCTCAGTTATATATTTTATACAAATACTACACAATACCTTATGTTGATTTTCTGATAGTGTAGTGTCCCTACGTTAAATTATGCAGAACACACTAAAAGTTGGTGTTATTTTAGTTGACCGATGTGGAAAGTAATCTATTTATGGAAGACTGTCACTCTATTAGTTCACACACTCCTGCTATTTACTTCTATGGCATGCTGCTAATAACGAAATTCGTAGTTATGCATATTGTAGAGAGCTTGGAGAGTAATCAGTTTGTATTACAGGCAACTGACCTATTTGATCTTACATCACACATCACGTCACATTAACAGCTTTTAATAGTCCACTACTGGACATACGCTGGCCAGACGAGTCGGTATAGTGTTTATGTCAAGTTTTCCTTCTCTTTGCAGTCTCTTACGACATCCACAGGATGATGGTGACACTCCGTATTCTTAATTCGTCACGACATGGCTGTTTGAGCTTATACTTACGGTATACTATACGGTAAGTGAAAGCTCAAACAGGTCAGGGTTGGGTTTTTACTTAAACTCATTAAATCATCCTTATAAACAATATATTTTTCCTTGCTAGTCTTTTTATTCTAAACTAGATTTTCTATTTAATATTCATCTAATTTTCCCATGTCTAAGTCAGCAAGTGCCCGGATGACGGTAATTATTGGGTGGCAGTAATTGTCAGCAAATGTGTAGGTGTTGGACAGATGAAATTTCAAAGTTAATCATTTCTCAGTTCTGGCCTGTTACAGTAGAAATACACGTCATATATAACCTCTAAGAAAACCATGTCAAATTGTTTTACCTGTTTTTCGTAATAGAAAAAACCCATTATAGAAAAATTAAAAATACGCCGTCTGACCGAGAACTCTTGACTCAAAAACTTGGCTAGTTTTTTACTTAATACCTTTTAAAAATAAACACTTTCTTTTATACAGGTACCTATCTACCTTTATACCAATCCAAAACTCTGCAGGTTTTACTCATTTCTTTACGCGTGGAAACCCCTCGGGTCGTTAACCCATTGGAGTTTATAATGGTGGAGTTTATCAGTCGGTTCGATGACAACATGGGATATGTGTCATCGAACCGACTGAAACCACACGATGTGCCACTCTGCGCCTGAAATAGGAAGCCGGGAACAGTTGCTATTAAAACCCTACCCTACCTAGGTTAGACTCTCGTTTATGGTTATTGGTCTTTTCCTAAAGGTCATAGCATGAAGTTAAGTAGCCTATACCCTTTATCAATAATCCTGCCTAGATAAAGACGTGACTGTATGGATGGTTCGATGGCAGAATTACGTTATTAAATTCAATAACAATTAATCACAATTTAACGTAACAAAAAAAAACATTAGCCTTAAATAGATACAGCGCTGCTATTAAATGCACAACTTGTTAGATAAATAAAACAAAATAAACAGATTTTACATTATAACTAGATTCCTTTGTCAACTGTAGTTAAAAGGCGTTAGGGCAATCACGAAAATACCATTTCTTTTTTTTTCTTACACACGGCGGTCTGGTTCCAAACTAGGCAGAGCCTGTATTATAGTAACCAATCTGCTGATAAACATACTTATATATTTCTAAATACATACATACATTACGAGTATAGATAAATTACACCCAGACATAGAACAAATGATCATGCTCATCACACAATATTTTTCCTGGGGAGGAATCGAACCCACGACCTCCGGCCTAGCACTTAGGGTCACTAACCACTAGACCAACAAGCCCGTCTATAATATGAGTATTTCACTAATGATTGAGAAGATGGTACAAAAATATTTTTTGTTTTACCTTCTTTGAAAAAGTATTTTCAAAACATTTTTAAAGTAATAGGTGACTTTTAAATACTTTTAGTTTAGTTCCACCGCCGCATGTTCCAGTGCCCGTGCGCATAACAAAGCATTGCTCTAAAAACAGCATTTACGATAATGCATACTTATCTATTTAAAGAAGCCAAATTATTATTTAACAATAAAGAGATAAAATATTCTTTATCAGTTTTATCTCACATTAAAAAAAGTTTGCATCATGAGCGTTGCAATCATTACATTATTTGGTTTGAACTCTTTGGATGCAGAATCTTACAAATTATGATAGTTATTTACTTGTGAATGGTTTCAGAAACGTTATTTAATTTACTTCTTTAATGAAACTAACTATAATGGCAATTTTAAAAATTATAGCTTTTGATGTTAGGTTATTAAGACCACTGTCACGAGTATAATGTCAATGTCATCATGAATGTAAAACGACGTGTTATAGTTAATGCGTTCAATATATTATGGCCTCACATGACACTGTTATGTGCGTGAGCGCAGATCTCACGATCAAGATCAGGCCAAGGGCAGTTAATCGCATACTATAAAGTGTTATAGGCTGAACCTATTGATCAGTTATATAACTTGATAGACAATGAGATTGTGTTAGTGGAAAGTTTATATAGAATATGTTTAGTTTATCCATGTAGTGTGGTAAGAGCCGACTAAGATAGCAAACTGCGTAGGACAACAGCGCAAACCTCATTTCTAAGCATTGCCTATGTCCAGCAGCGGACTATTAAATGCTGTTAATGTTTGATATGTTCAATATAATCTTGAAAGTGAAGCGTGGTATGCTCTGACAGACTAATTTATCTGTTCCAACTAGCAAAATCTGTTGGAGACCACTGGGATATGACGGCCGTGCGTGAGACCACGTCCAAGGTTTGTTCAGTAAATTTGTATCATTGCAATGAACGATATGGTAGTCTCCTGCGTCTAGCCTAAAAACTGTTACTGAAATATTTCCTAGTAATAATGGGTTACCGGGTATTGATGGACGACATATACAAAGTTGAAAAAGCTTTATATATCGTAATCTTAATTCGGTAATCAATTGATTGGGTTTAAAGGATTTTAAATAAGTTTGCGATACTGTAAAAAATCAATATTCAGAAAACATTGTTATTCTTACGACTTTCCTAAGTTCCTAACCATACAATTCGCATTCATATAAAGTTGTTCATAACCTTAACCTTATAAAATTTTTGCTATATTCGCCAGAAAAACTGAAACTACATAAGGTAGTTTTTCTAGAACGGAACGGAATTTAATACATGTATGTGCACAATACGCGCTAGTTATATTTATTTTATTACTAACGGTCACCTATTCCAAAGAGGAAAGGCTTGTGCAAACATCGTACGTAGAAATTGTAAAAAATTAACGCAACATGGGTTCACATACACGAGATATATATTTATAATATGTTGTGTAGTCAATGTAGTCATTGGGAGAACTAAAATTTCTAATTAATCTATGCTCATCATTCTCATAATTGCTTTACTATTTAGATGTTACCGAAGACTAGAAGAAACCAGAAGACCAGCTCGATGAGTTTAAGAGACACCAAAATCTCTGTACATGAGTTTTACAGGTGGATACCATAGTGTGGACACTTATAGGGTAACTAATAGACATTCCATCGCTATCATAGCATAAGGTACATTAACCTTTTTTGGTGCTAGTGTATATTTATATTTGGAAACTGTATTGGATTTTACTTGTGTCTGTTTGTTACCCAAAAGAAAATGCAGTAAGTATGCAGTGTTAGTGAAGTTAACTTTGTCCTAATGTTTGTAAAAGTATTTATGAATGATATATATACATATATGTGTGTATGTGTGTGTCTATGTGATACCTACAAATATATTATCACTAGGGATCGGCCCGGCTTCGCACGGGATACTACTAATACTGCTAATGTGGTGTCAGTGAGAAGTAATTAATTATACTATTATTATGATTAGACTATACTACAGGACATCTTTATATGCAATATTTATAGGCCACTGCCGCCAGGGACCCAGTTTAAATCTCTGATATCAACTAAGATATTCCTTTTAATGATATGTTGTAAAAATCATTTGATCTACATTAAATGCACAACGTATCCAACGTATTTATTTGGATAATGAATAAAACTGTGTTGTTAAAATTAGCTTCGTAAATTACCCATAATTTTTTGTAATATGTAAAAGATAAAAATGGTTACAGTGGATTATCATTAGGAGATAGACATATACCATGGTGGAATTTTTTGTGGATATTTTTAAGATATATAATTCCGTAGTTTATTATTTTGATCTATCTTGTAAGGTTTTTTACGACGTCACATTACTAGTCTTTGAAATTCTCGGATTTTCTCTAAACTATAATTGCATGTATTTTACAAGATTAGTATTGTAAAGGGTAGATAAGTATTGTACAAGAAAATGTGTTCATTTTATGCCATGTAAAAATGTACCTAACATGCACCATACTGCTATAATATCTATTCCAATGTTGCTCTCCTTAAGGTGATAAGGCCGCCTATTGTATTAGCCGCATAGTACTGGTATATCTTACTATTTGTAATATCTGTAGTATATTAATATGTGGTAATGTTCTTGTTTATAGCTCTTTGGTTAGTTTTAAAGTGCATAATGGGCGTTTTCTGTTTTTTTTCATTTCATTCTTTTTGCACAAACTATAATTCATGGTACAACTGCGGACTTAATGCCATAGACATTTTCTCCCAGTATACCTTTGGGTGGTG